CTCTCTGCATGTATCTTTCCTTCAAAACTGTTCATTATATTTGAAAATATAGATATTGTTATCCCACATATATATATATATATATATATATATATATATATATATATATATATATATATATATATAAAAAAAGTTTCAAAGTTCCCTTTTTCGTCTAACTCCCGAAATCGAGTTTCTTGCTCGATTCTAGCTTTTTGTTTCAGCCTTTGCTCTTTCAGCTTCGGCTCTGACCTTAGCCTCGGCCTCAATTTTCACTTTCTCGAGATCGAACCGACGTGTCTAGTGATAATTTACTTAATTCTTCTACGTCGAAAACGTCGTTATCTACCATATGTTCACAGACTATCCTGACTAGCTGAGTTTTTCTCAAATTTCAACTATATCATCCTTCTTAAGCTTACATAATTTTTCCATAGAGGCGATGCGAAAAACTATCTATAACCGACATCTTGGCCTGTAGTTCGCCGATACCCTGAAGCTGTGCGATTCTTACTGAGTGAAAAACAGGGAGAAAAGATTCTCGGAACGAGCCCCAATTTTATATGTTACGAACTTGTAGCATATAGATGAACCACAGGTTCTAAAAAAAGGAAAACGTGGTTTCTTTCTCCGGTCTTCACTCAGAAATGGAAGCGACACAAGGGAATCAACGAAGAACAGACGCAAGACGATGGATTTCAAAATTAAACATTTATTTATAAATATATATATAACGAAACAAAGAAAGAAAAAAAAAAGAACATTCATTTAACAAAGGGGGAGGACATCATTAAAGAATAGAAGGCGCGAGCGAATACATACATATATGAAAATAGATCGAGCCAAAAAGAACCAACTTATTTTGCAGTCGGGCTGGTATCTTCACATAAAGTTTTGATGATAAAATAGTATCTTGGCCGGCCGACAATGTTCCTGGATTCTTCTTCTTTTTCGCGTGTGTTCGTGGGTCCCCAGCATTTCATACAGGCATTTGGTTGGGTTGATCAGTCCATAGTAGCCCTTCCATCATCAGTCGATAGACTTCGTGGTCTTCCTCATCTCAGTGGGCGGTCTGACGATTTTTGCCCAGCGACGTTCAACTGCCGCTGGTTAGAGGGAAACTGAAAAAATCCTTCTTTGGTTTCGCTGTCCCCACAGACAGTCACGTGGGTTCCCTTCGTCCTTGACCGGGTACGCAGGAGAATAGGGCGCAAATCACGCAGTGTTTGTGTGATGGCCAAAAAGTTCAACGCATGCTCCGTACGTCCCGATCCGTGAATCGCATGAACCCTGATGGTGTCTGCATGGTCAAACGCAAATGAACCAGACCCTTCACGGGCCCTTGGAAGAGAGGATAAGGAGAAAAGAATTTGTGAAGTTTCATAGAATATATTCGCTCATGGTCAAACGGATTAAATTTCTGTTTTTATCTATTTATTTATCTTTCTTTTATATCTAACTAATTTTCCTTTATTTAAGATTTTACAGCCTAACGCCTATATGGTTAATAAAAATCGTTGCTACGTGACAATATATATATATATATATATATATATATATATATATATATATATATATCCATTACTCCACCTTTATGTTCAATAGCAGGGCCCTCCATGGCTGGGGGGTCCTCTTCCTCTCCCCTACAGCTATGGGTAAAATAGGAAGACTGGGTTCTATAGCCTTGGATAACTGATCTAGAGAGGACAACTCTGAATTTGCGGAGGGTCGTTTGGGAACCTTGATTCAGAAGGTCTCTGTATTCGGGGATGGTTCTGGCCTTCATATAATCAAATCTCATGTGCCGGTGTCGGGCTGTCGGTTTATATATTCTGCTTGACCCTCATACGTCGAATCTCGACGGGAGAGCGATTGGATTAATATATATATATATATATATATATATAGCTTTCAAGTTTTTGCGTAAAACTCTATTTATTTATCTTTCTTTTATTCTAACTTTACTGAATAGGTAGACTTTCTTTTAGGCTCTTCTTTGGTTTTCATACGAGGCTTTATCTGGACAACAGATTTATGTTTTGAACGTTGATTTTTTTTTTCTTTAATGCCTAACGCCGTATATGGTTAATGAATTTTGAATTTATGCGAGTTTTTTTTCGTTGTTATTTTTATACGATAACAATTTTTATAACGTTGAAATAAACAATATATATATACCCATAAAAATAAATATATATTAAATTTTTCATTAAATACAGCCATGTACAAATATATATTTATTTCATTTTTTCACCATACATCGCTTTTAGACCCACACCTCAGAATGGATCATTGGCAGTGTGTACAGTAATATGAGTCTATTTTCAACGTGTCAGATGAAACTTGTTTGGCCTAGAAAAATAATTCGTCGTCTGTGATTACATTAAATTTTTATCACACCCAGACACCATTGTTTCGACTGTCGATTATTTATACTATGGACATTGTCTGCGATGGACCTTACTCCATGAAAGTGTACGAAAATTGTAACGCTGCAGGAATATACTGGCAAGCCTTAGCAGTGAGCAAATCAAAGTACTATCGACTGGCCCAGAAATTCGCTGGGAAATCTGCAAGGAACAACTTTTGTGGAATGGACATACGAAATACTAACACGTGCACTGTGTCATGCTTCATTGGCAAAATACGAAAACAAATAAAAAATAAATTCGTTTTGTTTCAATTAAATTGCACAAGGGTTTAGGTAACGGCAGAAGAATTATTGTTGAACTTTCAAAAGATAAGCAAATATAATAATATAAATAACGATCAATTTTGATATATTTATTGTTGATCTCATCTTCTCAATTCCCTATCTATTTTGAATTTCTCCGAGAAGCTATGGCACACCACAGTGCGCTTTTAAGCTGGAACAAATACAGCCACATAATAAATATATATATATATATATATATATATATAGACGTAAATTTACAGAATTTGAGAATATGATGGAACAAATATGTGAACAAATTGGAAATTTTCAGAAAATGGGAAAAAAGTATACTTAAAACAAGAATCAAAATCATATTGTACCACGGTCCGGATGAATATGTTCCAGGATCCTGTAACTAATAGCCCACAAACCGGTAGAACATGTCCAAGGCCCGGAAGAATATGGTGTCCAGGGTCTTGTAACTCATGCCCCACGAATCGGTAGAACATGTTCAGGGCCCGGTAGAATATGGTCCAGGGTCTTTTAACTCATGGCCCACGAATTGTCAGACATATCTACGGCCCTGTAGAATATGGTTCATTGTATTGTAATTCATGGCTCACGGACCGGTAGAACATATATACGTCCTGGTAGAATATGGTCCAGTGTCCTGTAACTCATGGCCCAACAACCAGTACATGTCCACAGTGCTGTAGTATGTCGCCAACATCTCTGAAATATCTGGAACATGTAATGAGGAAACAATGTTTGAGTAAATCTTACAACATACTGAAGTCATGAGTTAATAAATCCTTTTCATAATACTATGGTTAGAAAATTCGAATTTTTTGTCACATTTCCCATTTCATGTTAAGAGACTCTCATGACGTTTACATTTTCGGGTTTGTTTGATTATAATTTCACCTAAAAACTACTTAACATCTTAGGTTGAACCACTTGCCGATAACCATACTTCCTGCTTTCTTACAAATGATATTTTTTTTATTTCTTTACACGTTCATTTTCTAAATACTTTACAAGGTCCAACAGTTTCTATTCTGTGTAGCTATGAAAACTACAAATAATATGTTGAAAAGAAGAAGATAAGAAACTGACTACTAAGATATTTAAGGAAATAATGAGGAAATAAGATTAGGAGAATTTAACACACACAGGACACATTTAAGATGAGAGAAGTAGAAACAAAAAATTGTTTAACTATATTCTATAAATAATTAACGAGAATGTATGTAAACTTAGTAGATTGAAAATAAGTGTTGCTGTGGGAAAATCATGATCACTCCCAAATTTAATGGACACAGAATATATATATATATATATATATATATATATATATATATATATATATATATATATATATATATATATATATGAGACAGTTGTAACGTGAGTGTAATTACTAGATTTATATTTATTTACTGGGCTTGGAGCTTATCTGGTTAATTAGTTAGATGAATGTCACATGTAAAGAGGATTGGGTTCCTAATGTGCTTGGTGGGAAAGAATTCTTTTTTTTCTGAAATGTGTTAGACGCAATTACTGAAAGAAGATGAAAGGAAAACAAATAATTTAAGAAATATAGAAAACTGCGGAGCATGGCGATCTAAAGACTGGCGCTGCACAGAAGAGCTTATCTGATGTAAGACTTTGACAACAGAAAATAAAGAGATGCTCACGCTGAAAGAAGACTGGAGATATTTAGGAAGAATAGGGATAAATAAGCGAGGACGCCAAACATCCTGAACGGATAAACTGAATAAAAATTAAGAAAAATAAATAAATAAAAGGAATAATATTGCAAAAATCAACCGACCAGAATATTGTTAAGCAATAAAATTCTAACATCTCGAATGTATGCTTTATTTTATACGACATGAAACATTCCGGCAACCGATACTGTTTCGTCCTTTTTTTATGTGCTATGTACTCTCAGGATGTAGGTGATCATAGCTCTCAACCTTCCTCTATCCCTTACAGCTCTCTTCCTCCCCTCTGCTTCCTTCACAAGACCACGATCTGTCATCCACTTGCTGAAGTCCGCCAGGTATGTTACGCGAATTAATCACATATAGTACTCAAGAAAAGCTCGCGTTATAATAACGTGGCATATAAACAAACTTCCTTATCAATTACTACATTGAATATCCTCACGGGGTGTTAATACGATCGTACGTAATACAATCCGGCGGGACATTATTCACTGTTTCTCACACCATTGTTGAGGTAATACAGTAAGTGTTATAGCAGAACGAATTGAACAAGTTATACCTGATCCTACTATGTCTTATATGGAGGGCAGGATCGTAGATGATATCAATTAGGAAACCTACCAAACATCTTACTGATGATGTTCAATAGCCCACAATATGAACAGTCATTCTTCAGTTTGATCTATCTATCTATCTATCTATCTATCTATCTATCTATCTATCTATCTATCATCTACCATGACCATTTCTTTTCTTTATCTATCTATCTATCTATCTATCTATCTATCTATCTATCTATCTATCTATCGCAGTCTTTTCCAATCTATCTTTCTCACTCTATTTCTTTCTTTCTTTCTTTTTTTTCCGCCTTTCCTTTCTTCTATCTATCTATCTATCTATCTCATGTTTTTATCCTATCTATCTATCTATCTATCTATCTATCTCTATGCTATCTATCTATCTACGCCTGTTTTATCTATCTATCTATCTATCTATCTATCTATCTATCTATCTATCTATCTATCTATCTCGGTCTGTTAATTATCTATGTAATGTTGTTCCCCTCTATTTATCTCATTTTCTTCCATTCTATTGCATTTTGTCCTATTTATCGATCTCATTTTCTTCCTATCTATCTATCTATCTATCTATCTATCTATCTAAGCCAAAATTTGGGGTTCATTGAAGAAGAAGAGAAAGTGAATAGCACAGTTTGCAAAAAATGTTAGGGACATGTGTGTTGCCCTGGCTGTCAGCAACATTTTGAAGTCACTATTTCCAGACAGAGCCTTAGTATAAACGACCAATTTGAGGCAGAGTTGGTGCAAGATACATTTCGTTGGATTATATGAGAATTTGGCATCCATCAAGCCCTGATATTAATCCTATGGACTTTGCGATATGGATGTTATCGGGGACTTATGTTCAAATGTGTCAGACCTGAATTAACATCTTGTGATGTCGTATTACAATATGAGCGAAGAGGTCGTGAATAATTCGTATACTTCAGTCGAGAAGATTAAGGTCTATGTTCAAAATAAATGTTAACGATTGGGTATTATAAACGTATTTAAATTATGGCCAATTAAAATAGCAACCGCCTGCAAATTTTAATTAACCAAAATCTAAAAATTTTTATGATAAAATAAATAACGGTTAAATATACATGGCGCACTTGGTATATAGCGTGTCGGCTAGGGCTTTAAGACCACACGGTCATAATTAGTATGGCTCTATATTTACAGGATATTGCATCATCTAATTTTAGTTAATGAGAACACATCATCCCGAGGTTTTAAATACTGTCACACGGAGGAGAAACTAGTCTGAAATCTGCCAAGTTATTTTAAATAGTCTGAATAATAACATTAAACGACTCTGGTCGTACAATTCACTCTAAATGTGGTGAAGTAAGATTGCAGTTAAGAATGACATCACCACATACCAATGTGATGGATATTATTCTGACTAAAAGAAAATTAAACATGCCAATAACTCTAACAACTTCAGGTAAAGAGACAACAAAATTCGAAATCTTCTGCTTTTGATGTCTAACTTGTCAGTCGTTATGTTTGCCCCATATTTGGCACAAGCAATCATAAATACGTGTATGTCTCCGTCCGTTTTTTCGATCTCGGGATTTACGCATGCGCGTCGAATAAATACAGCAAAAGAAGTATTAATATTTATCAAATATTTAAAGCATTAATTTTTTTACTAACATAATAATCACACGAACTTTCTTCTTCTACTACTTCTACATATTCTTCTATACACACAAACACACACGCACGCGCACACACACACACACGCGCACACACACACACACACACACATATATATATATATATATATATATATATATATATATATATATATATATATATATATATATATATATAGTCATCCATAGACAGACTGCTTTGCTGTTTCAAGCTCGTCAGTGTTTTTTAGAAATCCGATTGCCTCAAGCCGGGCTCGAAAATCGGGGACTCTACCTCTAAGCCACGACGCACGTCATGGATGAAGGTGAATTTAGACGTATATATTTATAGATATACAAGTCAGTGACTGGAGAACTCGATACGTCTAAACAAAACTTGCATCAAAAGTAATATATATATATATATATATATATATATATATATATATATATATATATATATATATATATATATATATATATATATATATATATATATATATATATATATATATATATATATATATATATGTATATATATATATATATATATATATATATATATATATATATATATATATATATATATATATATATATATATATATATATATATATATATATATTTATTATTATCCACAGACAGACTATATATATATATATATATATATATATATATATATATATATATATATATATATCACATGGTAGGTAGTACATAGCTCATTAAGATTTATATATTTTACTTTTGTTCTACTTAGTGTATTGAGCACTCATATATATATTATATATATATATATATATATATATATATATATATCACACTTACAAATGATATCGTTAAATTAAACTCTAATTAAACCTAAGCGGATCACGGTACTTTGCTCACGTTCTTTGATGTATTCTAAATATTCCATAGTTCAGGTTCGCAAATATCATTTAACAGTGACTTTATAGGAAGGGATCATGAAGAATACTGATTCTAAAAGAAAATAAACATTGTGCGCAAAATAAATGAGATCGGTTGCGCATACGAAGAAAGATTATGACGAATTAACATCTCGAATTAAGATAAAATTATTTTATTACTTTTAAATTCTTTTAACATTTACTTACATAGGACGCTGAAGGCAAACGTTTGAAGTCTCAAATGCCCTGCACAGCAGCCATCCTAAAGCCCGCCGGAAGTTCTGTTTCTACGCTGGAAGTTCAATAATTGCAAATAAATAATGCAAACTTCCGTGAAAACAAAGATTGACTACAGGAATTAATAATTGATTGTTTGACTTTTTCGTAGCTTATCAAAATTATGCAGGTTTTTTAAACCAATATATTTTTTGGGATTGTAAGAATATTTTGGACATGAAATTGATTTACTTATAACAATACTTGGAGAGAAAATAATTGGATTCATATCATTCTCAAGGAATAGGAAATCGGTTGCCCACATTCAATTTCTGTGCCGTTAAACATTACCCCAGGCGCATATCCAAGCTTACATCATTTGTTATTCTCAACCGGTCACCCATGTACGTACTGACCAGGCGTGACGAAATGAAAAACGGTCACCTGATATTTTCCAAAAACCATAAACATTCTATGGAGTAATAATGAAGGAATTATCACTACACCAGTTTCTTGTACATCGACATGAAGATCCCAAAGAGAACGATATAAAGAATATATCATAGATACTATGAAACACAATACCAACCAGAAAATTTAGTTTATATTTTCTGAATACTGGAACAACCACGAATGGTCAAATGTATCTGGATAATTAGAAGAATATTTTAGAGGTTCAGAAGCTAATACATGGTTGCTACAAATTTATGAAAGAGTGTGCCCAATAAAACATAGCAAGAAAAATGAATTACTATTTTCATTATTCGGACGATTGTCCACAAATTTGTCGCCATATTTAATACAACGTTTCGACCGTTGTACGCTACGGCCTTCTTCAGGTGGTTGGAATGTCGAACTGAAGCCTTTATTTCGCTTACTGGAGTAGACTGCCACGCGTGCCATGTTTAATGGATGTCAGTTATTAGTTATCTCCAGTTAATTCCCCTCTCAGAGTTCTCCACTGCCTTAACCGGGTATTGAACTCACACTCTTTGGGTCCTGTCACTGGATCTAACTAACGCCTTTATTCACTGTGCAATGTGTATTTGGCAACAAAGATGAGGACAATAGTCCGAATAAAGTAAATAGTGTAGATAATACCTCATCTCAGAAATATAGACAGATACTGAAGGGGCGAAATGTTGTAATAAATATGGCGACAAAGATGAGGACAATAGTCCGAATAATGTAAATAGTGTACATAATACCTCATCTCAGAAATACAGAGAAAAAGGAATTAATATCTTCAGTAGTTTATTGTTGCCATACTGGAATTTCCTGGGAGCAGAGACAACCTCAATTCCATCGGACATTTTTTGAAAGACAAGAAATAAAAAGCAAATGTAAAGCGAAATAAACGATATAAAGAATTTCAACAAAATTTTATCAATCTCAAAGCCAGCATGCCGCGTCTTGATGATGTGATTATTAAGCTGAAGCTTTTCCCATCAATTATACTAATAAATGTTGAAATTAATAAAAAGTAAATTGATTTTAATTATTTTGTTGCATTACAGAAATTTTATAATAAAATATATAATTATATTTTAATATATTTATATTGCATATATAGTGTATACTGCGTATTTATTTTTCATATATATATATGTGTGTGTGTATGTATGTATATTTATATATATATATATATATATATATATATAATATATATATATATATATATATATATATATATATATAAGTGTAAATGGATATAAATCCGACAGAATGAAGAAATTTTGTGTGTGTGTGTGTGTGTGTATACTGTCTACTGTTAAATTCGTTTTTTTACAACATGGAAGATTGCAGGCTTATCCGGAAATAGGAATTTTAAAATAATCACGAACTGTGTTATAAAAGTGTGTGTACGGCGTGACCACGTTAAACGGAAAGCTGTTGTGTATGTATATTTATTCATATATATATTTTCGTCATATTGAACTGAATTTGTATTTTAATGAATTTTGTCTTGAAATTTTATTAAAACCAGAAACGTCTGACGTCGACAATTCTTTCATTTTATATATATTTTGTTTGTTTTTTTCATATATATATATATATATATATATATATATATATATATATATATATATACTCTAAGGTCTGCTATATTTAAGGAATAAAGTCCACAATATCAAAGATAGAGCGTGTGTAAATATAAAAGTGAACCATGAAGTCAACACTTAGAGGCGACAGGCTGTTTTATGTTAGACGGGTCAGTGGTGCATTGTGGGTAGTCTATTTTAGCTGTTATTAATAACCGCCAAAACAGAATACCCAAAATGCACCACTGACAGGTATATATAAATAACCGAGAAAAAATAAAAACAGCACTCGTGGCCTGACGATTGCGTCTAGCATGAAACATCCTGAAACGTGGCACATGGCACACTGGCTAAAGGCGTTAGCCAGACAATACCCAAAAAGTGTGAGTTACCTGGTTAAGGCGGTGGAGAACTTGGAGAGGGAAATTAACAAGAGATAACTGATAATTGTCATCTATTATACATGGAACGTGGACCTAGACCAGTCGATCCCAGAGATCGAAATAAAGGGTTCATTTCGACATTCCAAACAACTGAAGAAGGCTGAAGCGTAAAACGGACGAAACGTTGTGATAAATTTGGCAACGAAGAAGAGGATAATAGTCCGAATAACGTGAATATCTCTGAAAACTTACACACACACAGACACGCATATATATATACATTATCTGTTTGGATTGGTATTGTTTTTATGTCCATCGTCTTTTTCATGTTGAATTGTATATGGTCTATGTTAATTATGTTTTATGAATATGTCCTGAAGATGGTCTATTAGACCGAAACGTCCGACGTTGACATTAAACATTAAAACAGCATAATCACATATTAGAAATTTTGTTCCTTTTTTTATTTTTCTTTATATATATATTCATATATATATATATATATATATATATATATATATATATATGTAATTCAACATGATTATCACTAATGACGGAAGTAAATGATCAAAAATTAGCTTAAATTTTGGAGAATCTTTCTCCAATAATAATAATTGAAACATCACATATATTGCTTCCAAAAATACTATATTAACGCTCCGTTTAACTTTCCGTTTGTTGTCTAAAAGGTCAAATAAATCCCGTGCCACCAACCATAACAACGACAAACATTGGGAGAAGTCAGACAAATCTTAACCAATATCCAAATTGGAATAAAAGGAAACCAGAAAAAAACAACGAGCAATCTTGTATCTTTCACACTTTTCATTTAATTTTTGATGTTAAATGTTATCTTCTAATTCTACTCTTGTCACAGCCGATGTATCTTTGCATGAATTTCCACTTAGAAATATGTTCTTATTTATTAATATGCCTATAATTCCGTCTATGCTTTCTGTTTTCAAAGCTAAACTCGATCATCGCAAAGCATTTGGAATTGATGTTATCCATGAAATCATACTTATGAAAGTGGCCCCAAACAAAATAATACCTTGCTACTTTTGCTCTCCTACTTGTTAGAAATCCTCTTCGGTTGCACCTGTATTTAATAATTCAAATGAACCATCTAATCCTTCTCTCTATCAGACTATTAGGATTTTACCAATTTCTGGCAACGTTCTAATGGTTCTAATCAACTCATAATGGGTTAATCATCTCACCTGGAATATTCATTCTTCAGATAAGAAATATGACTTCTGTTTGGCTTAGTCAATTGCTGATGGTTACTGCTAAATATGATCCCCTTTTCGATGAGAAAGGTGCTACGAGCAATTGCTTTGGATATTTGTAAGGTATTTTACAGATTTCGGCAAAATATTCTTCACAAATTAAAAGGTTATGGTATTTTGTATGAATTTTTAACTGATTCATACTTTCGAATCGCGAAATTGTAGTTGTCTTGAAGGGCCAATTTTTCTAGAAAAATAGCATTAATGAAGGCATCCGCCAGTCCGCTATCATTAGATCCACATTGTTCTTAATTTTCATCAACGATCTTCCTGACCTCATCAGTTCCAACTCGGTGTCTATGCTGAAAATACAACTCTTTATTCCGGTCTTAACAGTAAGTCCAAGAGATTCAATGATGTCAAATCTAAAAAAAAAAAAGATCTACTTTATGTTGTTATCTGGGATAAGGAATGGCTTGTTAATTTTAAGAAATCCAAAAATAAAGTGTTCTCTTTTATTCGTCTACCTTCCAAAAACATGATTGTTGCTAAACTCCATGAGGATAATTCAATAAGCCTTTGTAAATTAAAATTTCCCACTGAAATGAAGATAAAATATCATTTTGAATCAGTTGATAGACTTGCTGGTAGAAAAGTTGATCCAATCTGTTGTGATAGACAATTCTTCACGCCGGAACCTTTATAACATATTTAAAATCAACAATTCGTCTTTGTTTTGAATACTTCTGCCACATCTGGTCTGGTGCTCCTGCTATATATTTAGAGACTCTTCTTAAAATCCAAAGCAGAATCTGCAATGTCATTGGTGCTGACTTGGCATCTCGCCTTCAGTCACTTTCCCACCCGATAATGAAGCCTTTCCATGTTTTTCTATTAATACTTTCATTGTAATTATTCTGATGAAATTTAATCTATGGTACCTAGACTTCATAAATTTAAGCGGAGTACTAGATTTGAGCTAATGTATCATCATTTTACATCATTTAAAATTTGAACTTGCTAGATGAAACCGTAAGTTCTATTCTAAGAGTTTCTTCTGCTGTACTTCACTCTTTCAGCTTGTTGCTTCCGGGTCAATTTTGATATTCAAAATTGAAAAGCTATATCAATTGTTAACTAGCGTTTTCTTAATTTTAAGTTCCTTTAATGTTCCCTCTCTTAATAGAATGTTCGTTCTTTACTCATATTCTCTAAGTATTGCGTCTTAGTGGGTTTATTGCCTTAGTTGTGCGAAGTAATTAAAGTTTTAACCACAATTACAATCAAACAATAAACAGATAATAAATTTGGTAAAAAACCTAATTGATATATTTCAGTAAATAAACACGAACAGACTGCTTCACATGCGGAAATATTTTATCCCAAAATAAGAAACTTACATAGGAAAAAAGAATAAAAGTTTGAGAGAATGGCTAACGATTGCCCAAAGTAGGCAGATATTAGAGAATCTATCACTAAACATGTCCCGGAAACCAAGAAAGGGATTCGAAATGTAGAATAATAAATGTAAAAATAACAAAAACAGACACGTTCAAAGACAGTTATATTTTTTTTTATATAATAAAGATAAATTGACAATATTTAAGTTAATCCGTAATATGATCTTCAGCTAAAAAAAAAAAAAAAATCTGCGTATCTGCGATTTTGAGGTTAGCTAGCCTTGACCCGCCAGTAGTAATTCCGGCTCTGTCGTTGCTAATTGGCCAATAAATTCACTTCCAGACACCTGATTGCTCCCTGAAGTGCATGGCCTTCTGGGAACAAGATAACCTGACCTTCAACGTTAGGGATTCTTCTATTTTTTTTATTCTTTTTTTTTCATTTCATGTCGGAATGACAAACGAAAATATGCATTAATATAGACAAGAATTTTCGGGGTCAGTTTTCGTAACCTTCTTTTACGTATATATATATATATATATATATATATATATATATATATATATATATATATATATATATATTGTTACCCAATATTCTACTGACAGCTTTTCTTTTCTTTCTTTTTGCAGCATTTCTTTCTTTCCGAATTAGATTTGTCTATCCATATTTTTAAGATCTTTTTTCTTTTTCTTCTGTCTGCTTCTCTTCCATAATTGGGCTAATATCTTCCCTCTTTATTTCATTTATCATTATTCATTTGCTTCAGTCAATGTTTATTTTCATTCACACTTTCGTTCAATATTTATTTCTTTCATTTATTCATTCATTCTTTCATTTATTCATTCATTCTTTCTTTCTTCCATTGTCTTTATTATCTGCGACCAACATAGCTTGCTTTAATTTTTCTACCGATATAACTTTCTTTCTTTCAATTTTTTTTCGTTCAATTTTTATTTTATTTTTCTTTCTTTCTAATTTTTTTTCTTTCTTTTTTCTTTCTTTCGTTTTTCTTCCTATTTTTCTTTCTTTTTTTCTTTCTTTCATTCTTTCTTTTTCTTTCTCGCTTTCTTTTTTCGTGTCTTTTTATTTTTCTTTCTTTTTTTCTTTCTATTTTTTTTCTTTCGTTTCAATTTCTTTCTTTCCATTTTCTTTCTTTTTCTTTCTTTCTTTTTCTGTCATTGTCTTCATTTCTTTCTTTCTTTTATTTGATTATGAACGAGGGTAAATCCTTGCCCGATATATTAAGTAAAATTTGTTCTGAGATTTTCATTGTAATTAAATGTTAACTGAAGAAGCCTTGGGCATTAACAGAAAGATAGATTAAGTTGAATAATTTATTTGTGTCTAAACATTATGTTTTCTTTCTTTCTTTTTTCATCTGCCGCGTCCCTCCATGACGTAGACGATCATGCATCTCCACTTCCCCCTATCGCTTGTAGCTCTCAGTAAATTTCGTCACTCTGCCACCTCCCCGAGACCACGTTCTGTCATCCACTTGCTTAAGCCCGCCAGGTATATCATGCGTTGCTTTCGCTTGTCTCTCTCTCCCTCTATTTGACTTGTGAGTATCTGATTCTCCAAGCCCCCCCTTCCACATTGCGTGTCCCAGAAATTTCATCTGCCTCTCCCTGATGTTAAGTATAAACTTCCTTCTTGTTTCCATCCCTCCAAAACTTCATCATTCCTCAAAGTCTCGGTTCATAATATCCTTAACATGCTTCTGTAGAACAATATCTCCGTTTACTGGAGTCTCTTCATCTTGAGTAGACAAAGACTATTTTATTGATTAGCTTTCTTTTTCCCATAATTTCCTTATTTTTTTTCATTATTCAATCTTTCCTTGAATATTTTTCTATCTTTATCTCCTCCCAGTGTTTTTTCTCTCTTTCTTTCCATAATTTTTTTCCGTCGTTTTCTATTGCCTTCTAACAATATATTTTTCTTTCATAATTTCATTCTTTCAAAATGTTTTTTCTTTTTTCCTTCTTTTCTTCCAATATTTTCCACCGTTCTTAAAGTTCTTCCAATTCCCTTCATTCCACTCATTCCCTTTTTCTTTTCTTTTTCTATATATCTTCATTCACTTCTAATCTTTTCCTTCTTTATTCTATTTTCCAATAATGTCTTTCTTTTTTCATTCTTTCTTTGTTTCTTACTTTCTTTCCTTCTTTATTTTTCCCAAAGTATTTCTCTCTTTCTTGCTTCTTCCAACATTTACTATCTTTCATTTTTTATTTCTTTCAAACAGTACTTTCTTTCTCTCTCAATCACCTTTCTCTCTTATTTCTTTTTTTTCTTTCATTCTTTTCCTTCATTACTTTCTTTCTTTTTTGCTTTCAATATTACTTTTTCCTTTTTTACAATTTTAAGCGTCATGTAAATCATCCTTCTCGAATTATTTGTTTTTTTGTGGAACAATCAATTTTATTCATTTCTATTTTAAGATTAATTCGAAGAAGATTTGTTTGTCTAAGATATGAGATATCCTTTAATTTAATAAATTCTAACCTTTTAAATCCGAAAATTCATTCAAGTAGAATACCATCTAATCCTTCTTTATATTTATTTCATTCCCGACATTTCTCTCTTGATTCCTTCATTTTTATTGTCAACCCTTCCTTGATTTAAATATTCATTTCTCTCCTTTTTCTTGCTTTATTTTATCTTCAGTTGCTTTCTTCTTTACTTTCATTCAATTATGTCATTTTTTCTTTATGTTATATTTCCTTCTTTCTCATTTCGTTCGCTTACCCCGCGCCCGTAATTTTGAAGATGCTGAATGACTGCTGTGCGCTTCTAATAAGTCACATCAGGCAGTCGTGGAAAAAAGGGGATAGACTGAGAAAATGCCAGCATACACCTGCCCTTAAAATAGCCTAATGCCGAGATCATAGAACCTTTCACGAAATAATACTTGGTAGAGTCATGCGCGCTGGGACTCAGCTGTGTGCAATGGCCGAGAAGGAGATATCTTTATCTTGTACATGCGCAAAATAATCACATCCGTTTTGGATTGATGTCTCAGTCCAATTTGCAACGATACCTCGTCTTTGATACTTTTAAAGGTTACGGTCTACCGTATATTAAGGCTGTTTTGAGACCTTAGGTCGAAGTTCAACAATACCTTTATTTCGCAATTTATATGTGTTTTTTTTTTCTTTATTTCGTTTTATTTTTGTAAATTCTTGCATTTATAGTTAGAAAATATCCGATCGCTCAAAGGTCACTTTGACATTCGCAAAATATAACGGAAAAATAATACAAATATAAGCATTTAGATATCGACAAAGTATGGTAAGAATACGCACTTGTGCAAATTTGCATATATATATATATATATATATATATATATATATATATATATATATATATATTGTGTGTGTGTATTTAGGCAGCATTTTTTCATTCATACATGTTTCATTAAATAATATAGAAAAGTGTTATTTTTTTATTTTATGTAAATTCTTTTTAAAACATCTGATAAACTCAAAAACATTATCATTAAACGAAGAAAGAAAAACACAGTATTTGAACATCACTTTCTTGTCCGTGTATTGCTTAATATATTGTACTGTAATTGTTATCTTTGATAATGGCTTATGTAAGCCGAAAGCTTAGATTGGATTAAAGAAATATGTATCAATATTGTGATTTTATTTCTTCCTTTAATGATAATGTTATTAAGCTTATAAGACATTATGAAAAGAATTTACATAAAATAAATAGACAACACTTGTCTATATTATTTAATGAATATATATATATATATATATATATATATATATATATATATATATATATATATATATATGTATTGCAAAAATTAATTGAAACAAAAGAAATAATTTCGTTAATATTTAATTATTTTTCTTATTTTTCCAACGAACCATGACACAATGCACATGTTAGTATTTTGTATGTCCATTCCACGATGTCGTTCCTTGCAGATTGACCACATATTCTCCATTGTATTTCAATCAAAAGAGGTTTTAGGCCAGTCTCTAGTACTTTCATTTGCTCACTGGTAAGGTTTGCCAGTGTGTTCGTCCAGCGTTACATTTTTCGTACGATTCCTTGGAGTAACGTCCATGGCAGACAATGGCCGTAGGACAATTAATCGACAGTCGAGGCAATAGTGTCTGGGCGTGATAAAAATCTAATGTAATCACGGATGGCGCAATATTCTTCAAGGTCAAACAAATTTCATCATACACGCTGAAAATCGATTCATATTACGGTACACCACTGCAAATGAGGTAATCTGAGGAGAAAATATAAACCGATTGTACCCAGCCACTCCAGTGGTTCTGAAACGGACCAAATGCTGAAAGAAAGAAAACTAAAGCGGCTGTTTCAATTAATTTGCACAAGGACGTAATTTAAAGACAAATTGATGTAACTGTCTCCTTTTTTTCCATGCAAACAAATATTTTTATTTCATGGTTGACTTTAACTGGATTTTGCAATTAATTTCGATTGTTACCAAATTTATTTGAAAGTTATAAAAATTGTTAAAAAAATATTGTCTCAAATATGACGTAAAAAAATTCTACGACAACTAACGCATATAATGAAAACTCGTAATACAAAATTTCAGGATTTCCGGTCCGGAAACGATGCGGAATGTTTTTTAATGTGCTCACGGAGTCGGCCGGATTCTAGGAGTAAAGTTGAGAAAGTGTGAGACATGATACTCTGACATTCTCATTTATTAAAGAAAAAAACATTTGGTGGAAGCAACAGGCAACGTGCCAAAACATAAAACTCTTATCCAGACAAAATCTCTTATAAAAAATCTACAATACTGAAAAAAAAAGAGAAAAGGACTAAAAGCACGCCGACCTATTAAGTAAAGTGTTCGCAGTCTAGAATGCCTAGGCTGAGCAAAGAAAGAAAGTTAAATCTTATGAAAGTCGGACCTTGATCATGTGACACCGAAATCAGAAGAATCATGGAATATTTAAAGATATTCTACTAAACAGTCGAGGCATTAAAAAACAGGAAAAAATTAGTGGAGAAAAATACAATAAAAATTCTATATGAGTGTTAATACTGGATAATCTCATTACAGGTAAAAATGAAACAAAGAAAAAAAAAGAGATTACACAGACTGCGCTACAGTATGCTGCTGAGAATACTATGGGTGACACATATGAAGAACTTGGATCATTTCCGGATATTCGATATAAAAAAAAAAACGGTGCATATATTTAATACTCAGTTTTCGTTTATCGAAGATTAAATTTGGGCGTGTTCATACATATTTAAAGTAGTAATAGCGTTTAATATTTATTGAAGGTCAACTCAGATACACTGACACAAAAATTAAGAAAACAAAGCTATTCTCTCTCGGATATATATGTATTCATCCCGCTGAGTCAATGTTGCTGCAATTAAAACTGCAAGTCTTTGTGAGTTATGTATTTCGACCAGCTTTGTAAATCACAAGACTGAAAGCATTGCCTATTCTTCTTTGCCAAGTAGTTCAGTCGGATAGAAGGTAGAACTTCTGTAAATAACAACTTTCCCGTCTTACCAGAGACTCTCAGCTGAATTTTGGTCTGAGCTTTAACAGGGTCGTTTTTACACATTGATATAAATTCATCTAAAAGATTCTATTGTAGCTTTGGTTGTAGGCTTAGGCCCGTCGTCTAGCTGGAAGGTGAAACTTCACTCTTACATAAAGATTTCTTTTTACCGAGTGTAAGCGATATTTTTGAATAATTGGTCTATATTTATTTCTATCTGACCAGCTTTCCTGTAACTGCTGAAGAAATGTTTCCCCATAGTATGATATTCTCACCGTGTTTCATGTGGGGATGGTCTGCTCAGGACAGTCTTTTGTCTCATCTAACGGGATCCCCCTAATTCTACATGTTTGTTTTTTTTCTCCGACATGATTTCTGGCAAACTGCGTACATTGTTCCCTACATGTTTGTTTTTTCTCCGACATGATTTCTTAAGGCAAACTTTAGTACATTGTTCCTTGTTTCATTTTGTTTGAACTTTTATTCATGTCACTCTTCCGTAAAAGACAAATTTACGAAAAGCACGAATAATAGTTGTCATGCGGACAGCGTCTCTCGTCTGAATTCTTCGTTGCTCCTTTGAGCAGTGCTAGCCTTGTCAAACCAATCAGTTTAGGTGGACGATAATCTCTTGATAAGGTTGCAGATGCAACACACTCTTTCATTTTTTTTAAGTATGGTGACATTAATATTGTCTCCTTCGTTTATATGATGCTGATTGTTAGGTAATGATCACTAACTAACCTATTAATTCTTCCCAGAAAACTTGTCATTTCCCGAAATTTAAAAAAAAACTTTTCCAAAACAATATATATGAGGATAGAAATGTAAGCGAATTTAAAAGACTGTTAAATTCATAACCTACTATTTAACATATATAATACTTAAATTAATTCCAAATGAAAATAATATATATATATATATATATATATATATATATATATATATATATATATATATATGTGTGTGTGTGTGTGTATGTGTGATGTATATATATACATATATAATACTTAAATTAATTCCAAATGAAAATTATATATGAATATATACATATGTGTGTGTGTGTGTGTATATATATAGATGTGATGTATATATATATATATATATATATATATATATATATATATAATATATAATTGTGTATGCATATATGCATATGTATATATATATATATATATATATATATATATATATATATATAAAATAAAAATAAAAAAACATATGTTCACGTATGTTTATCAAACCCTGAAAAACTTAGCATTCTGCATACTTTGCATTAACTTTTCAGTTAGCATCATATATATATATATATATATATATATATATATATATTTGTGTGTGTGTGAGTTTTATTAGAATCATATATAGCTACACACACACACACACACACACACACACACACACACACACACACACACACATATATATATATATATATATATATATATATATATATATATATATGTGAGTGTTCTTAACCCATCGTTAGTTATCTCGGATTTCCGAAAATGGATATTCCCTGTGGGGTGTTTACACACCTCAATACAAAAATGATTATAGTGTTAAAATTATGTAATACATTGTAATGCTGTAAAAAAAATAACATATCTGCCCATCTCTGTTACAATTTACATTAAATCTGACGATATAATTATTCATTGAAGCGAAAATTATAATAAATAATGTTGCATAAATCACATCAATACGATAATACAGAAAAGATTAATCCATCAAAAATAGCTAACGAACGAAAAATATACATTAGCTAAAGACATAATTACATGACTAATCACAGTATCTCTCTGTCTCTTTCTCGCAATTTCTCTGTCTCTATCTCTCTCTATCTCT